TATTTATTGTTTTTTCTGTTTTTCTTCACAGCACTTATCACGTCTTCACCACTGACTGACCTTGCTCAGCCTACCTTGGTAGCTCCTACCCCAGACAAAGATTCCCAGCCTCGGTATGAAAGAAGCACATCTAAAAAGCAAATATGATACATGTCAGATTTTTAACAAATTTCCTCATGCATAATGACATAATCATCTGATGTCTGTTTCTGTGGTAGATATGATTGGTTCCAAACGGATGTGACAGTTCATCTAGTTGTTTATGCCAGAAGAAAGGTAATCATTTGTACATTAGGACAGTAGCTCTGACTTCTGTTGGCAAATACTAGGAGCTGCAGTTAAGGATGGAGTTCAGTAGCATTTTTACCAATCTGCACAGAAACAAAACAAATTTAAACTTCTTTGTCTAATAAAAGATAATATTTAAGAAACTATCTTTTTTCAAACCATGTTAATAATACAACTTGTCATTTTAATTGAGATTATAGATAAAATACCAGACTAGCATGACACTGACATAGAGTATTAGTATCATGAAATATAAAACCTATACCACGGACATCCTGTTGTGCTGGAAGGTTGTAGTGCTTTCATCACATGTTATTCACTGCTCTGAGACATTCATTAACCCTGTCCTCATGCATTTTTCCTTGTGCTGTGTTTGGTCCTTACTGGGAGGCTATGTTGCAGGTGCAGCAGCTCTGGAAGCTATAGTAAAAGTATAGTGAAAATCAAGTTGATTGTACTTCATTGCTCCAAGAATATCAGTTAAATAAACTCATAGGTATTCCCACTCCCAGCGTATTCAACTGTCACCTCATTCCTGATTCACAGCGCACTCACAGTCGCACTCGACCAGACCGTCTGCTCTATCCGTACTTGACACCTGAATTTGATTTAGTTTTAGTCTTAGTCTTTTGAGGAAAATGCATATTAGTTTTAGTCAGGTTTTAGTCTTTTGATTTGAACTGGTTGTTGCATTGCTACAGGTCACATAGTGTACCACTGTTGGTCATCCCTCTCAAGTTATCAAAAATAATGCAAGTTCCTAATTTAGCATGTTGGACCGTATTTGAGTACCTTCTCACAAATATTATATTTTATAGTTTAACAGAGTTTGGAGTAGTTAATGCACTCAGTGTTGCTGAGCTATCCTGAAGTTATACATGTCTTTTTTTTCTCTTTGGCGATGTTTGTACTGTGAGGGGCCAACAAGTGCAAAGAGGTGAACTTGAATGTCACCTTCAGTGTGGGATTTGTTTGGTTATGATTGGTCAAGTTTGGGTATTTTATAAACTTGGACCAGATCCAAAATAGAACTGGCTGTCTGAACCCATCCATAGCTGCAGATGAAAATTCCAGAATGTGGCTGATGAGATAGACTGCATGTGATTGGATAATTTTTGCTCCATGACAGAGACCACCAAAAGAACACAGAAATCACTCTTTACATGTCTCTCTGTTGTGCCATTTGTGAGCAGGCTAATTCATAAGCCAGGATCTGCAGGCTTAATTACCCCTCTTGATATGAACCTACATGTGAGGATTAAGAGCTGTAACGGCTTGTTTCTCTGTTATTCTTTGAATAATTCATCAATATTTCTGATGAAAGCCTGTAGCAGCTTGTCAGTCTTATTTTAGTGAAGGTTTGATGGATGAAGTTAGGTCAAGGTCAAAGTGTTTGTCATATGCACAGGTAGGAAACGTGTTTCCCTGTACAATGAAATTCTTACTTTGCCGTCCACATGAATGCCACAAAATACAAATGAAATATAAAGTAGATGAATAAGTAACACAAAATCTTACCATATAAGACTAAAGTTATAGAAATAAAGTTAAAGAAATAAAGAGGAATGGTGGCAGTTTTCTCCTGTTTTTGGTTTGACTTTAAAACTATCATCAGGAGCAGGCAGAGGTGATAAGGAAACAACAACTAATAAATAGTAGGAGTGCCAGCTGATTGCATAGCTACAGTACAACAGAAGGCTGATGATGTCACAGGCCTATACACAACCTCAAAGCCCAGCCGATATTCTGCCAGATGGGTGCAGTTTCCCCTCCATTCATTTTCAGAAAACAAAATGGCACAAGGCAATCTGAATCTACAGCCACAGCAAGTCCGTAAAATAACAAATGGTGGAAACTGGTAAACACAGCCTATACTGTTATACTGTACTTAGTTTGTCAATACTAAATCCAAACACAAGACTTAATGTACCGGCGTTATCAACACTTGCACTTTGTGGTTAGTAGATGTGAGCACCATTTCCTTCCAGTAACCAACTTGGAGTCTGAACGAATAACTGCAAACAGTTTGGTTGGTTAACCTTGGCTATGTAAAGTCATGGTTGAATGAAAGTAAATATCAAGTCTCATTTGATTTTATGATGGTATCTGGGCCCTTTGGGACAACATTTCATAATAAAATTAATTGTGTGATATTTATTGTATTCACTTAGTGTAATTCCAAAACACAGATATTGTGTGGCCAACTTACAGCTTTGCTAGAATGTCACTATTATGTGGTTCAACCTGTGCTTATGTCCTCCTCAACAAGGATGCTACCAGCATCATGTCACCGCCTGCACTCCATTTCAGAGGGTTTCTCCATCCTGGCTGCTCTGTGACAAAGCAGTATGCCAGAATGGCCAAATGGAGCCCAGCTTGGGTTATTAACAAAAACACTCACAATATTTAAAAGCTTTTGTTTCCTTGTGTCTTCTGCCCGCTCCTCATGGTGTTATTAAAGTAAAACTGAAAGACTGAATCTGCTGTTTGTTTGTTTTAAACATTTTCTATGAAGTTGCCAAATGGAGAGGTTCCATTGGTTGAAGATGACATGTATGCATACTGTTTTTATTGTCAGATCCCCAGCCCAGGTTGTACCATTGTTGACCTTAAGGCGGGTGTACTACGACTGGAAGTGCTGCTGGAGAAAATGTCCTACATGTTACATTTACGTGAGTTGAGACACAGTAAGGCTGTCTGTGTTTTATTTTGTGTTCTTCTGTCAGCAACATAAGTGAGGTACACTGAGGTGCAGCACATGTAGTTTACTCACTCTGTCTCTTGTCTTTCTCATGTGAAGCCCTTTATAACTTCTCATTTGACAAGCGCTATACAGTAATGTGTAAATAGCTTCCTTGGTCACTTGTCAATGCCAGTAAATCACACAACTCCATAAAAGGATAATTTCACAGGTGAGTGGTTGCTCTTCATTAGTGAATTCTCTGACCCTTGTTACCATCAATCTAAGTTCCATGTCCTAATCTAACTATGCCTGACAGTTAACAGTCGCTTATGTTCTCCCCATTTTTACCACAGGTTTCTCAGAACCATACTAAACACATTTTAAATTGTAACAAAGAACTAGCTGTGATTGTGACAAATATGATGTACTGTAGTAGAAATGGGGCATATGTGCATATGTTTCTGTGTGTTCTCAGTTTCTATAAACATGTATGGAATTGGTTTTAGTGCTTCACAGGATTAACTGCGCTGTCCTAGTACACTATGTAGAGTGACCATGGTTAATTATTTATATTATGTTGTGTTGATTAAAGACTGCTTTCAGTTTTGTGACTAGTTTGTGGCATTGTTTTAGTCTGCTTTTTATTGGAAGATGTTCCTCATATTTAGCCTCCTCCATATACAGTATTTGAAGACTTTGTGTTTCACTGATGGACTGTTTTAGTGACACACGTCTACTTGCAAAATCTGCAGTTAGCATTGACTATAGCACCAATCATGGTTTGCATGGATGTGTGTGAATGACAAGAGTGTACTCAATGTTATGGACGATTTTGGATGTAAACTCAGTATTGCTATCATGGTCTTTCAGGTCTAGCTGGTGAAGTTGAGGGAAAAGTTTCTGGTGAGACCAACAGCTTAATTTGAAACAAAATCTGCTAAGTCAGTTTTGAAGTCATGAGTGGCTTGTTCTTAAACTGCCCTTTCTTCAACAGTCCACACTGCTTTCTCAGCGGGAAAGATCCAGGTCAGCATACACAAGCAGGATAAAGCAAAATGGACAGTTCTTGGCCAACCACTGGAATTCCACAATACATTTCAATGCAAAAAAGGCAGAGGTGAGATCCAAGATCAAAGAAATCAGTCGACAGTGGAATTTTTTGTTCTCCACTTGATTATAGATTTTTATTTTAATATTGACATACCTCGTACAGTATCATACCAATTACTTATTTAGAGAGAACAAGAAATTAAATGTTAAATTGCACAAAAACAGTGGTTTTAATGATATTTGCATTTACAGTAAACACATGCATATCTTTATGTTGGAATTCCATTGATGTTTACAGGACCACCAAAAGTAGAGAGAGCTTTTGTTAGCTCATCTCAACCAGAGCTACTTCCTTTTCCACACTCTGCATCATTTCAGTTTTTCATCAGATGACAGTGGGCATTTACTTGCTCATTAGGAATGAAAAAGGTAAATAATGAAGCTATATCACCGATTTCCTTTTTACAGCTCCCTACTATCGAGACTGTGTGCTGTTGTCAAAAACGGAGGTGAATCATAACACCCATGTGTTCAGACTGCAACTCCCACATGGGACAGTCATGCATGTGCCTGTTGGAAAACACGTCTACCTCAAAGCCCTCATTCAAGGTAAGGAGCCAAGCAGGCCTGCTAATTGCTCTCCTGTTCTTTATTGTGTGGATGCTGTAGCATCCACACTATGTTTTCCTCTTATTTATTGTATGGATGCTGAGTCATTACCCATACTATGTTATCCTGGTCTTTATTATTATTCTGGTTTCTTCTGTCCGTTTTTTGTCACTTCATTTTTTCATTGTTCTGTGAAGCATCCACACTGTTTTCCTCTTATTGTGAAACAGTGTGGATGCTACAGCACTTAATTCCTTCAGCATACTTTCAGCTAAAAAGCCATTGAGATATCAAAATGTTCAGCTTTTTAAGGACGTGTGCTTGTATTTTTGTTGTTTGTAACATTTATATTTTTTCAGCTATCTAGCATTTTTCAACAAATTTTGCCCCATTCAAATGAATGGGAAAATTTTTCACAACTTAATAACTTCAGCATACCTTCAGCTAAAAACACAATTTCAACTGTAATCTATTCAGCAACTTTTCAGCTATTCATAATGTACACAGCTTTTTGATATAATTACTGTTTATATTTTATACCTCATTTCCATAGCCACACCCTAGTAGTCCTCATGGTGTAGGACTACTCTTTCATTCTCATACACACACATATACACAGACACACAAACACCTACACACACGCACACACACAACCCTACATGTTTTACCTACTTTTTGGGGATATTTTCACATTCTTAATAAGTTCAATAAGTTTCAGCAAGCAAAACCATTCAGGTGTCACCATGTTCAGCATTATCAGGTCGATCTTTCAGCATTACAGCATCCATATGCATTTTCTTCAGAAAATTTCTTTAGTTAGTGTGGATGATCGCATCCACACTCTTGTTATCTTCTTCTTTATTATTCTGGGTTCCGCCACTGTTCTCTGGCACCTAACTCCTTCAGCATACTTTCACCTAGAAGGGCCATTGAGGTATCAAACTGTTTATCCCTTTAAGGACATGACTGCTTGTATACAACCTTTTTATAACATTTATACTTTTTAAGCTATTCAGCTTTTTTTTACAGAAATTTCCCCATTGGAAATGAATTGGGTAAAGTTGGACGCTTAATATCTCCGGCATACCTTGGGCTAGAAACACCATTTCTACTCTTTTCAACTCGTGAGACGTTCAGCTACCAATGCTGCAAAAATCATCTTGATATCTTTTATGGTTTCTTTATAATCGACATTTATATTTTGTCTATTTGTCCATAGACAACGAATGGGCCAATACAATCCAATGCCATTGGCTGCCCATGCGTCACATGACTCCCCGGTCTAGCAGCTCTTTCTGTGCTTTTCCTCTTTGCCGCTTTTGTGCTCCTATTATGCCATTCTTAAGTTTCATACACATATAATAGATGCAAGTCGTAGAGAAAATTGTCATGAATTCAGCTGTCAGTGGTATTGAGATGGGATGAATGGTATTTGCGTAAGTCGCACATACCAGCGCATACCGTCTCACTGCTCCATAGACTTGCAGTCTAACCAGCGCTTCAGAAGATCCGCTAAAGGAAACGTCGGGGTATTTATAAATCGCCACGGTTCCTTCATTTTATTTAATATATTGGCCGCAGGAGCTACGATCTACTGCCTCTCTTGCTCCCTGTCTCTTTCTGCAGATGCTCCCAGCTGATTCTCATCAGCTGGACATGTAGGAGCGGCTCAGACGCGCTGACACCGCCAGTTCGCCAGTTACAGTAGATTTTAGTTCTTTCTACGCAGTTTGGCTGCAGAAGAGCTACAATCTACTGTTTATTTCTTACAAACAACGATCGATACTGTAACGAGCTCGAGCCTTCCCGCTACACTATTTTCCATAGCGTTTATAGTCTTATAAACAGCAGTCTATAAAACAAAATATGCTTGAACCTTGGACAGTGAGCATTGAGAGCCGATGTACCAGAGTCTAATTCCTCATGTGTCCGTCACACCTGGCCAATAAAGCAGATTCTGATTTTGATTCTAATCCTACTTACCTTAATATAGTTCACCTCCAAACAGGATTGTTGGAGCATTTAACAAATCTACCGTATACATTAGACCTAAAAAACGACAGCATTGAACCTACAGAGGAAAGAAAGGAAACAAATATTTGAGTTAATTTTAACTTGCCATCTAGTCTGTAGAAAACTTCTATATGCCACATGTACTTAGCATCAAAATCAGGCAAGGATAACCTACAAGAAACCAAAAGTTAGTCTGATAGGCGACTGAAATCTAAACAGTCAGCTTCTACAGTTCTCAAACCGTCTAATCTTCAAATTCTTAATACTAGAACCGCCAAGACGTCATTTTGACCTCTCTTCACTATTAAATTGCATGTAACTTTGAGTAAAAACCCTATGTCTCCCAGTCAATGACTTTTCCTAAAAGTGTGCTACACATCATCTTATGCGTTTTGGGGATCCTGGAATAAAAGAGAGAGAAAAAAAGAGTGGTTTTACCTAGAACCGCCAAGAGGTCATTTTGACCTTCATTACTCCTAATGCAAAAATGGTAAATAGATTGCACTTGTATAGCCATATAAATTATACAGTCAGGGAAAAAATTATTTGACCCCCAGCTGATTTTGTAAGTTTGCCCACTAACAAAGAAATGATCAGTCTACAATTTCAATGGTAGGTTTATGTGAGAGAGACAATAACAAAAAAAAAAAAAAAAAAAAAAAAAACCAAAAAAAACAAATAAAAAAAAAAAATAAAAAAGAA